TCCTGGAACTTGATCTGTATACCAGTCTGGCCTCAAACTCACAGAGATCCGCCTGCCTCCCCCTTTTAAAAATAATTATTTGATTTTAATCCTATGTATTATGTAGGAAAGGTATGTGGATGTCAGGGCTGGTGCCCTCAGAGGCCAGAGGCACACCAAATCTTTGGGTGCTGGGAACTAAACACGGACTCTGTACAAGAACAGCTCTTAGCCATGGACCATCCCTCCATCCCGAGTTTTGTTCCCATTTTTTAATTCTCTGATCTCAAGTGATTTTGTGTTTTCCCTTCTTCATAAGATGGCCCAATGCACAAGTCCTTCCAAAGCATGCTGGGGTGTGGTGGCCAAGGGCCACAAAGCCATAAACCAGTAAGAAAAGCTTGCAGGACTGGCCTGGCCATCAAAGCCGAAGAGGGCTCCAGAATGACAGGGTTCTGAAGAAACAAGAAAAGTTGCACAAATAACCAATGTTCCTTTACGGAAACTCCCAGGTCTCTCTGGCTTTCTGGAAAAACATACTGTGGAAAACTTGACACCTTGCTTCATTAAGAGGCAAACAGGCAGGAACCAGAGGAGTTGGGGGTTGAGACTTGGCAGGTCCTCTCTGTGGGGTTTGAGTTAGGTAGGTCTGTCTCTTCAGTTAAGTATCTCTTGTATGATGACCCGGGCTCAATGGGTAAAGGCAATTACCTCCAAGAGTGACGGCTCAAGTGTGATTCCCTAGGACCCATCTGGTGGAAGAGAACCAACTCCCTCCCACAGGTTGTCCTCTGGCCTCCACATGACATGCCCCCCCCCCAACACACACTCACTCAAATAAATAAGCTTTCTTGCTTTGAAGTATGTCTCTCCTTTCCAGTTCTAAGGGATGCGAAGCTACAGCCTGTTTCACACAGCACCTCTGGTCAAATGTTGGCAGGTGTATTTGTTTAGAAGTTCACATAGCAATGAAGAAAATATCTAAAGGAGAATTCTACACTGGAACCAAGATACCCAACATTGTGCCATGAAGGCCCTGGTGAAGAATACAGTAGACAGGTGTCAGGCAGGCAGTTACACCAGGAGGGAGACTCAGCCCCGGGAGAAGGTGTTGGTTGAGGGACCTCCCATGCTTTATGACCCAGGAAGATGGGGCAGGTTTAACACATCTTCAGCAAGAATTATGCTGTAGGGAACCATGTCTGTCTCAGAAGCCCTGGGGGCTCCACAGAATTTCTAAATTTCCAATATCACCATAATGAATGTCACACTGGTATCAACCTTAATTGCCCTGTTGTGAAAATCTCTATTGCACCATCATTTACATTGGACAGGTCACCTCAGGGGCCACCAAGCCACAACCTCCTCCTGCATGCACCAGAGAGAGATCAGGACCACACATTCCAAAGGCCAGCTTTGCCTTTGTCCTTTTTACCCCTTTCCTTTATCTTTTAGGGGGTAGGCATGCATAAACACATGTCCGTGTGCAAACATGTACAGATTCCAGAGGTGAAATTTGGGTAACCCCCTCCCCACCTAATTTTTTGAGACAAGATATCTCCCCAAAACCTGAGGATCACTGATTTAACAAGACTAGCTGGCCAGGGTACTCCTGTCCTGGATCACAGACAGGCACACACCAGCAAATCTGGCTTTTTTCGTGAGTATTGAACTCGGATCCTCATGTTTGCACAGCAAACACTTTACCAGCTGAGTCATCTCCCCAGCACTCAAAAAAAAAAAAAAAAAAAAAAAAAAAAAATTTTTTTTTTCACCAAAATGTCCTTTAGACATTTAGAGTTTTGCCCCTATTCATTCAAATTCCTTTTTCCTTGCCTCCAGTAGCAGCTCAAACACTAATTAACAAAAACTCTCTGGGTGGGGTGGAAGGGTTGGAGAAATGGCCCAACTTTAAGAGCATTTGCTACTCTTGCAGAGGACCCAGCACCCACATGGCAGCTAACAACTGCCATTCCAGTTACAGAGATCTCATGCCTTCTTCTGACCTCAGAGGGCACCAGGCAGGCATGTGTGCACAAACATACATGCAGGCCATATTCATACACATAAAACAAATTAGATAAATCTTTTTTAAAAAAAATGGTCTGGGCATGTGTCCTCACGGGCTACAGCCTTTCTCCCAGGTCCTTCTCGGTGTTCTTATTTAGCACGACGTTGTCATGGGTAATTAAAACTATCTGCACCTGTTAAAAATCAAGGGCATTCCCTCATTAAGCCCCTGTGTCTAACAGCTCCATAATCGTAATCACTCGTTCACATTTGCAAAATGTTCCTTATCCATAATAATGATGTACAGCCCATTTATTTTAAGACCAAGAGTCTCTGGAGACTCATGGACTCACTTTGTACCTGCTTAGAGGTTATCTTCCTGGGCAGAATTCAGATTCTGATCACCATTCTCACAGTAAAACCGCACATATAAATAGTTCAGACTGCATCAGTTCTAGGAGTTTCCGAAAGCCAAAGTGGTAAGCCAATCAGGGGGGCCGGAGTTTCAGTGGCCTGACCCTCCTTTTCTTTTATAATTTATTTAACTTTATTTTATGTGCATTGGTGTGAAGGGATGAGGTCCCTTAGAATTGAGGTTACAGACAATTGTGAGCCATCATGTGGGTGTTGGGAATTGAACCTGGGTCCTCTGGAAGGGCAGCCAGTGCTCTTAACTGCTGAGCCATCTCTCCAGCCCCCGTAACCCTCATTTTCTAAGCAGCCATGACTAATAATATCTTTGTCTATTTGTTATTGTTATGTATTTATTTTAGGGTTTAAACTAAGAAGAAAAGGACAAATCGACCTCATGACTCCTGCTTCTATCAACAAGCAGAAGTCACAGTTGATGACTTTAGAGTTTCCATGTCTTTGGTCCAGCAGACCTGCCCTTCTTTGTTCCTACACTCAACTGTCCCCAATCTAGAGACAGACTTAATAGGCTTCCCCCCCCATCTTCCTCTGGGTTTGGGCCTCCACATGATCATTTTTAAATGTTAAAACCAAAGGGCAAAAATTATTGCAGAAGCAAATTCCCCCCCCCATCTTCCTCTGGGTTTGGGCCTCCACATGTTCATTTTTAAATGTTAAAACCAAAGGGCAAAAATTATTGCAGAAGCAAATAAACCTTAGAAGATGAAAGCCTGTTCAGCCAGCTCCAGACCTCTGACAACAGAAAGGAAGCACACATAAGCTCATGAGGATGGCACGGGGCTGGGTACCACAGTACCAGATTACACACAGGGAGAGGCCGTTCTTCCACACACCCAACGCCACCTCCTCAAACACCTCTTCCACCTGGCTTTTAAGAACAACTGGGCCTTGGTGCCTTCTATTTACCCATGCTGAAGTTACTTGGATGGTCTTAGTGATGCCAATGCTCTTGGCATTCATGCCCTTGGCTCATCTCCTCCCTAGGGACATGTTTAATAAAAGGAAGAGCAAAAGTGCTGGGACATTGCTTCCACGATAAAGTTACAGAAGGCTGTGACATACTTGTTCCTCCACTCCAGCTCCTTTGTCTGATTACCCTGAAGATGACAGCTGTCATGCTGTCACCTGCTTTGTGTTGGCCCATGTGGCAAGAAAGTGAATCCTAATGGCAACTGAACAGTTCCTTCCCTGGTGTATCCTTTGAGGGAAAACCCAGCCTTAACAAAAACCTTGCACAGACCCCACTAGGCTGCACTGGGGTGTGCCATAAAACTGTGAAGTATTGACTGTAAAGTCATAACCTGGAGCAACTTGTTCCGCGACAACTGATTAACTAATACACCCCCACCTCTTCCAAATGCACAGCAGACTTTCATCATGAGGTTTCCTTAAATCCTCTTTACATACAAATTCTTAAAATTCTATCCATGCTGAATAGAAAATTCCATCTCTCTATTATGAAAAAACAAACCTTTCCAACTAATCCTCAAACCTTTCCCTGTTCCTCTTTTTTGTTTGTTTGCTTTTGGTAGTTGTTGTTGTTGTATGTAGCCCTGGCTATCCTGGAGCTCACTATGTAGTCCAGGCTAGCTTTGAACTCAAAAGAGATCTGCCTGCCTCTGACACCTGAGTCCTCTGATTAAAGGCATATGCTACTACCTCTGGCTTCCCTGGCTCTCCTGTATCTTTATTCTGTCATTGTGCTAAAATTACATTTCCTTGCCTATTCTCCCAGTGTGCTAATACCACATTTCCTTTTATGCCCAGCAGATGCTGCATGGACTTGTGACTTCATCTTTTTCAGTAGACTCCCAATACCAGCTCTTAAGTTGGCCTCCTTGCCAATCCAGGGCACCTCTGACTTGAAGCCACTCCCAGCCCTGCTTGCTTTAGCTTCTCTAGTGCCTAGGCAGTGTCCTATATAAGGATATTCAACCAGTGATGCTGAATGGATGAATAGAACAATAAGGAGTATCCCCAGGAATGTTCAATCAATGATGCTGAATGGGTAAGCAAAACTATACTTAGCAACCCAAGGAGCCTTCTCAGGGATGTCACAGAGATCCTTCGGCCCAACTCCCCAGTGAGTGATGAGACTAAGTTTTTAGGCCATTCTCACCATTCTCTAATGGGCCCTTGAACATTTCTGGTGATGGAGGATGGGGGTGTGGGGGGCCTGCCTTTGTCATTGTCTATCATCCCCCCCTGCTAAGGAATACTAGTTCATACTCCCTCCTCTAATCCAAGCTATTCAATCTTAATATAACCCTGCCCTCACAGGGCAGCTGCACCAGTTCGAGTTTTACAGACCATAAAGCATATAGAAAACAGACCCTCAACTTTCGACCCCCTGGTTATTAAACTTTCCTTATGTAAAGAAGAATGCAAATGGGAACTAACTTTAAAATTACAGGGGTGTCCAGGGTGATCTTTTAAACTTATAAAACCATGACGTGATCAATTACAATAATTATGTCTTCTTAAAAATACATATTCCTTCTGGTCCTGCCAACTTCAGAGGACTTTAAAAAAATAAACAATTCAGAAATGCAGGGCTTTAGACAAAAGCTCAGTCCTACCTTATAGCCTCCAATGCGATGCTCCTGCTTAAATTCCTTCCCGTTTTTTAGCCACCTCATTGTGGGCGTTGGATTCCCCCCAGCTGGACAGCGGAACTTCACAGTGTTGGCGGCAGGGACAGCATGCAGCCGCTTCTCCATCTTTTCTGTGTTGGTCCAGTATGGTGCTCCTGAATTGGAAGACAATGAAATGCACATAGATGAAGGGATAGCTTCATCAATGCCAGAAAGGTAAGACTGCTTCATTGTAGGAAAGGATCTGATTTTCTTTTGACTCTTTGAATAATATTTATGTTAGGAAAATATTTTCAGAAGTCTGGTCCAGCTGGCCTCGCAGAAGGTCCCCAGAGGGGCTGCTTATTGGGTTATGATTATTAACAGGGAAAAAAGGATTCAAAGCACCTTCTCTCTTGCTCCTATCTGGTGCCAAAAATAATCCCATGTCAAATCATGCTTTGAAATGCTATTTTAGATTCACAGAAACATCCCATGTAATAGCAAGGGTCCAGGCCTCCAAAAACACATCATTTTAGATCACCACGCCTATTAAATGGTCATATATACACACTGCAAAAATAAACTGTCCTTGGGGACCACATAAACTTACCCATCAGAACTTTCTTTCTGTGTGGGCATGGGTAGAGGGGTGTTCATGTGTGTATGGGTGCATGTGCACGTGTGTGAGGCTAGAGGTCAACCTTAGGTGACGTTCCTCCAGAGGCAAGGTCTCTTGGTGGCCTGGAACTTACCCAGTAAGTTAAGCTGGACCACACTGAGCCCCCAGGGATCTATATGTCTCCATTTCCCCAGCATTGGGATTACATGCATGTGCCATCATGCCAGGCCTTTTTAACAGGGAAAAAAGGATTCAAAGCACCTTCTCTCTTGCTCCTATCTGGTGCCAAAAAATAATTTCATGTCAAATCATGCTTTGAAATGCTATTTTAGATTCACAGAAACATCCCATGTAATAGCAAGGGTCCAGGCCTCCAAAAACACACTTTCTTTCTGTGTGGGCATGGGTAGAGGGGTGTTCATGTGTGTATGGGTGCATGTGCACGTGTGTGAGGCTAGAGATCTAACCCAAGCCCTCCTACTTACAGAGCAAGTCCCTTACCTACTGATCTAACACTCTAGCCAGCCCCAAGCAGTCTTGCAAATGGCAATCAATAGCATAAGTTTTCATCTTAGCATATAAAGTAATCCTAGGAGCCAACATTAATTTCCTAGCACCTTATACAATAAATCAAAATACTGTATTGCTAAGTATATCTTATTTTTTTTTAATGAAAGAGATCTTTTCTCTTTCCACTAGTGGGTTGTGAATACTATTGTCATGCCTAAGCTTAGTAGGAGGCAAGTAATCAAATGCTAAATAAAGTCACAGCTCCTAAATGTCCCTCACAGTCATAGGTTCAGTGATTTTTCTTTTTTTAAGCTTAGAAAAAGAGGTAGAGGTTTCAATGACCAAGTAACAAGTAAAGTACATTTTACAAACAGGTGCCACATCATCAATCCAGAATGCTGCTATTGACTCTTCATGCCTGTACTAATGGCTTTAGTGACCCAATGTTTGTTTGCCAAGCATTGTTCCAAGAGCTTGCACATGCTTAGCATGTGATCCTCCCAACAACTCAATGAGGAGCTATTATCACCCCTGTTGCAGGTCAAGGAAACTGAGGTACTGAGACCTTAGCTGCAAATTGCAACAGCACTAAAAATCATGCAACTCAGATTTCACCAAGATCGGCCTGATGCCCAAGTCCCAGTTCTTTGCCCCAGTCTCCTTGCTAAAACAGACTAGCTTCACCAGGAAGTCAATCATACCTTCTAGACACTGAAAAACTAGACTCTCAGACAGTCAGTTGGGGCAAACACTTCAACCTTCAGTATTGTCCAGAACTTCCACTGAAACACTGGACAACAATTATGCTTTCCACACAATGAGGGTCAGCAGAAGCAGCACACACACTCCACAAACCAGAGGCAAAATGGTCACAGCCAGGAAACATATTTGGCAGTCTCCTCTCTGGCATATGCTGGGAGAGGTTCAACCTGAACAGCCAGGCTCTCCTGTTACAATCCCTCTCTGGAGTAACCGCCCCTGCCCCTGGCCACCTTGCCCTTGCTTTTGACTCCTGCTTTGAGAGGCAGAGCTGAGATGTCTTATCAAGGGCCCACTGTAGCTTCTTCATGCTAATGCATTCCCAAGGGTCAAGGTGGTGGGATTTGGGTAGCAACCTCATGACACCAAGACTGCAAAAGCACAGCTGCTCGCCCATTTGGAGCAGAGGGAAAACAGAGAGGTAGGGGAGGAGAGGGGACCGGAAGGGAGGGGAAGGGGAAGGGGAAGGAAGCCAAGTGAGAAGAGGCTGCCCAATTTCCTTTTACTCCAGTTGCATTTGTGATATGCATCTTGAGGACCTTGTCACTTGGGTACTGGATGCTTGTAAACACATCTATTCTCCTAAGAGTTCACCAGGGGACCACTGGACTCCTACTTATCACAAGACCCCAAGGACCTGGCATACCCTGAAACAATCTCAATCATCTTTCATTTTAAAAGCTTCTACTTAGAAAAATCCACCCAAAGCCACTGAAAGCAGTCATTGAGATCCCAAAATAAATAATGAGCTTTGTCCCTACACAAAGACTTTAACAAATCTGACCTAAATGAAAAGCATACCTCATGCTGTCAGGTGTCTGGACTCATGTCATCTGTTTAAGTAAACACAATGGCCTATTCACATGAATTAGCTAAATATTAATGCAGTCACTCTTTCAGATAGCATCAATTACTGCTGGGCTGAGCTCTGGAATGTCCTTTCAAAAAAAAACATAAAAGAAATCAACAAATAGGTGCTTACAAACCATTAGGCATTATTTTCATGTTCTCTGAGATCAAAAAGAAGGGTTGGCCTCAGGAACTCGGAATGTTCTTTTCCACTCTAAGCTATCAATGAGGCTGCACCACCACAGGGGCTGCCCCCCAGCCACGCGCAACACACTGTCCTGACTTGTGCCAACAGCACACTGGCAACCCAAGAACTCAAGCCTTTGTCCTGGTAGCTAAGGCATGACTTAAGGAATAGGCTTTAAAAAATAAAAAAATAAAAAAGCTCTGGGATTTCTAACAGGTACCTGCTTCCCTAGAGTTAAACTCTATCTGGTAGGTCTGCTCTCACAAAACAGACACTGGCCACACACCACAGTGTGGGCAATGCTTCTTGCCTCAGCCTCAGAGACCCAAGGTGGGTGGGGTCACTATGAAATCCAATCACTATAAGGCTGTAGATGGAACTGAATTTCACAATAGTTCTCTCGGAGCTGAAAGGTCATTGAGCTAACTTGTTCAAGGTACCAGTGTGTCAGGGAACCGCCATCCCAATGCTCTGCCAAGCTCCTGATATTCTGGCCACTGACACTGACACTCTACTGAGGCAACAGCCTTTGCAACTGAGCCTCCCCTTAGGATGGCAAGTGTGCATATTTCTAAAAAAAAAAAAACAATGCTTGCAGAAGAGATAAAACTGTTTTATTATTAGCAATAACACATTTTTAATTGTATGGCTCTTCCTGATATAAACGTAAAGGATGTACATAATCTAGAAAAATAACACTTCTATACGACCATCCTATTGTGCTTCCTTCCGCAGCAGCCTCCTGTCCTTTGAGACAGTCTTGTTATGTAGCCCAGGCTGGCAGCAAACTCAAAATCCTGCCTCATCCTCCCTCCTGCTGGATTCGCAGGTCTAACACTCCAGACTCTCCAGACGCCTCAATATTCCCAACCATTTCCACAAAGTAACCACCTACAAACATCCAGGCACCAAAGAAGTAGAGTGTAGAGTATACATCCAAAGAGACAAGGGCCAGGCATCTTAGAGAAGCCAAGCCAGCCTCTTCCCTACCAAAGCTTGAGAGCATTTCAACAACCCCACATGGAGCAGGAACTGCTGCAACAGAGTAAAAGCCTGTAGATGCAGAGACCATCCTGGTACCTAGCAGATGGCCACACACTGGCTATTCAACAGCCTTACTAGAACTGGAATCGGCAAGCCAAGAACGCATGAGGCTGTCTGAAATCAGGATGGTGAGCAGCTGCTTTCTATGCCTTCCTCAGGAATGTGCAACATGTACTCAAAGTCACCTGGTTGATAAGAGGGAATTGTGGGACAGACCTCCAAAGGCAGAAAAAGTGAAGCATACCAAGTCACTTGTGAAGCAAATGAATGGGCTTCTCTTTGGCTCTGACATTCTTAGATCTCCTCTGGGTATACACAGCAAAAGAAAAAATGTCCTGTTGGTCACAAAATACTAGCAATAAGCAAATCAAAAGAACAGTGAGATGCAGCATAACAAAGAAGTAAAATCCAATCAGAAAGATGCAGTCAACCCACTGAGAACCATCCTCCTTTATACCAGCATTGATCAGCTCTAGGTATTGTGTTAAGGACATTTTCACTCTGCTATAATGCTTCTGAGTAAAGAGAGGTCCTAACTCCATGCACAATCCTTCCAAGTACCCCACAGCAATCCTTAACCATTCTGTCCCACCAAGGAGGTCCACACTTCTTCCTCTGCAAGGGCTGATTCTTCCTCACTTATGCCAGCTTCCCCACTGGGTGTCCATCCTTGAAAGTACACCTGCTGGTGGTTGCCAGCTAGCAATCAGAGAATGAAACAGGCCACAGCTTGTGTAGCAGACCGAGTGGAAGGATGGATGATGGGGCAAAGCTTTACTATAAACCAGGGAAGCTGTCCTGATAAGGTTCCAATATTCTTTCCAGGCATCCGTGTGCTACTCAGGTATTGATTTTGTCAACAGATGGTAGGACTACAGGGGTTTTTGACCCTGCAATTTAAACTTAATGATAAAAGGTAAGCTGTTGGGCCTGCCTCATAAAAACCCTTACACGGCCAAGTATTGACATCTAAGGTTTACAAGATGTTCCCTGTCCAGAAGCAAAAAGCAAGCACAGCCCAATATTTTAAAGGAAAAACAGAGAATCATATTACAATGTTCCTCCATCTGGCTTAATGGCTGCCAGGATCAATGTCACCCAGAAAGGTTAAGTGATTTGATCAAGGTCACAAAGCCAGAGGCCGGGCCAAGGCTAGCCCCCAGTCTCCAGCTCCCTTAGCAATGCTCTCCAACCACAGCAGCCTG